GTCCAATGATGGTAGTGCCCCAGCAGCAGAAGTCGTCTCACGCGAGCTTGCCGGGTCAGCAGACCACTGGGCCGGGATTCACACTCATTGTGGTGACGGGGCTGAAGCGCCGCCGCGGTGTGTGACAGAGAATTGGGGGAAAGAAAGCGCACTTTACAATCCTGATTCGGCTACCCATAAAGCGGTCCAAACGTGGATGGACTCCAATGTCAGCCCCGGTGAGATGGAGGCCTACGTGCGAGGGGCGTGTAATTGGGTCAACGAGTCGTTTCATTCGCTCGTGCTCAAATATGCGCCCAAGAGAATACGGTTCCAAGGCAGTATGGTGGCGAGGATTGCTCTCTCTGTGATGCATTGGAACCATACAGTCACACGCCTTGTCATCGCCATCCGTGCACGTGTTCGAAAGGCGACAAGGGTCCGCCGTGGCGGCAAGGAGCGGATTCTCGAGTCCATGGACTGGTCTTGGGTCGATAGAATAATGTCCAACTGGAGGGATTTCGGGTTGGAGCCAGCCGCCACAACCTTGGCAGCGGAGGAGCGCGCGGCTCCACCCCCCACTCCCCAAGTTGCAGTCCCTCCCTCCTGTGCAACTGCCTCACCGTCTACCCCCGATGTGACTACGTTTACCTTCACTGCTCCTGGTGGCCGCTGCATCCCCACCTCCTGGGCCACGCAACGGCGGCGGACGCTCTCCAATGCCCGTCGTGGAGGGGTTTGCCGTCCTCTTTTCCGTATGTGTCTCCTCCTCATCAAGCATTCACCTCTTGCGCTGTTACCTTCACAGAGATCTGCGTTACTGCCGGCATGAGTTGTTCTTGCCTCTGTTGTACCACATCCTTCGCTGCAGGTGATCTCACGAACCTCAGATGATGGGGTGTCTACCCAGACGGGTTTGCGTGCACACCACAGGCGGACGCGACATGTACCAATCCGGTAAGTAGGGTTCTAGTTGTGTACTGGCCCAACCACCCCGTACTGCTTTTTGGGCTCCATTCCCTTTCCCCCCTGCCCTTGCACACTTTTCTGCCCCCCACGTTCGTCCCTCCCAACCCTCCTGTCCATGGAATTACAGGCTTCGCGATTATGACCACAGCATTGGGGTGCCTGCTGCCCCCGCGTCCAGGCTCACCCGGGGCCATGATGAGATTCGTTAGGTGCGCGTCACGCATGTCACACACAAGGGCCACCGAGCCCCTCCCCCCCTCTTCCCAATCTGGTATTGTCGTCGGAAACTTTCTTGTTCCTATTATTTGCCTCTTCTTGGTACTATGGTATTGGGGTTACTGCTCTATGCTCATGTCTTCCAATCCCCCCCCCCCCCCCTCTTTTCTAATTGTGTGGTGTGCAGCTCCTGTTATGGTATCTGCATCCTTGGTTCTCCACGTCATGCCCCAGAATGCTGGCTCCCCTTGCCCATCATTTACAAGCCTTTACTTGTGGGTTGGGCGCCTTTTGCTGCGCCCATGCATTCTGCGGCGCATCATCGCATGTTTGCGCCACTCAGAAAACAACCGCTAAAGCCATGGCCTAAAAAGGCAAACCCCAGGGCGTGCATGAATCCTGTTTACTTTTTACAACCGAGAAAGATATTGCAAGGGGATAGCGTGAGCCAACCCCGTAGTGGATGGCTTAGCTGAAGTGTTGTGGAAAACTGTAGTATGAGGCAATAGGATGGCTTTAGCCAGCCCCGTAGTGGGAGGCATAGCTCTAGTGGTAGCGGAAGCTGTAATAAGAGGGGCTCTCTTCAAGACAGCCTTTACTACTCTAGTCGATGTCTCTAAACAGGTTTAACGCCAGTGGTAGTGTCATGGGTTTTGCTGCACCTGTTGTTGTACTTTATTCACTGTGACTTGTCATCCTAGCTGGGTTTGGACTCTCTAACGCCCTTTGAGAAGTCCAGCATTTCTGTTCCCCACGCTCGTACCCTTCTTGGCCTTCCGATTCCTGGAACATGGGCAGGTGTGGAAGAGATGGGTGGAGAGAGGGAGTGGGAGAAATCAGCATTTCAGGGAGGGAGAGTGGGTACCCCCATCCCATGGTGCAACGAGGCATCAGCTGGATGTGGATCGGATGTGCGACAGGAGAGTGTGGCATTGGAGGGGGGTGGGCGGGAGTGAGGGAAAAGGATGAAGAAATCTATAACACCACACGAGTATGCTAGTGAGGTGCGGCATTTACACACACTTACAGAAGGTAGTGTTGTATGGGAAGTGAGAAGGAAGGCGGGGTGAGCAGGGCCTGTAGTGCGAATAGGGAGTGGGGGGAGGGCAGAGAGGGAGGTCAGCACGTCGTCAATGGCGTTCCGCTTGCAAGGGGAGTGGGTGTGGAACACACGCAGCTTGAGCTGAAGGGGGGGTGGGATGAGCAGGAAGAGGAGCTGGGGTGAGGAATGGGGGAGAGGGATGATTAGGAAGGGGAGCTGGGGTGAGGAATGGGGGAGAGGGATGAGCAGGAAGGGGAGCTGGGGTGAGGAATGGGGGAGAGGGTTGAGCAGGAAGGGGAGCTGGGGTGAGGAATGGGGGAGAGGGATGAGCAGGAAGGGGAGCTGGGGTGGGGAATGGGGGAGAGGGATGAGCAGGAAGGGGAGCTGGGGTGGGGAATGGGGGAGAGGGATGAGCAGGAAGGGGAGCTGGGGTGAGGAATGGGGGAGAGGGATGAGCAGGAAGGGGAGCTGGGGTGAGGAATGGGGGAGAGGGATGATTAGGAAGGGGAGCTGGGGTGAGGAATGGGGGAGAGGGATGAGCAGGAAGGGGAGCTGGGGTGAGGAATGGGGGAGAGGGATGAGCAGGAAGGGGAGCTGGGGTGGGGAATGGGGGAGAGGGATGAGCAGGAAGGGGAGCTGGGGTGGGGAATGGGGGAGAGGGATGAGCAGGAAGGGGAGCTGGGGTGAGGAATGGGGGAGAGGGATGAGCAGGAAGGGGAGCTGGGGTGGGGAATGGGGGAGAGGGATGAGCAGGAAGGGGAGCTGGGGTGGGGAATGGGGGAGAGGGATGAGCAGGAAGGGGAGCTGGGGTGGGGAATGGGGGAGAGGGATGAGCAGGAAGGGGAGCTGGGGTGGGGAATGGGGGAGAGTGATGAGCAGGAAGGGGAGCTGGGGTGGGGAATGGGGGAGAGGGATGAGCAGGAAGGGGAGCTGGGGTGAGGAATGGGGGAGAGGGATGAGCAGGAAGGGGAGCTGGGGTGAGGAATGGGGGAGAGGGATGAGCAGGAAGGGGAGCTGGGGTGAGGAATGGGGGAGAGGGATGATTAGGAAGGGGAGCTGGGGTGAGGAATGGGGGAGAGGGATGAGCAGGAAGGGGAGCTGGGGTGGGGAATGGGGGAGAGGGATGAGCAGGAAGGGGAGCTGGGGTGGGGAATGGGGGAGAGGGATGAGCAGGAAGGGGAGCTGGGGTGGGGAATGGGGGAGAGGGATGAGCAGGAAGGGGAGCTGGGGTGGGGAATGGGGGGCGCAGACGAGCGTCGTTAAAGCGCTTTGGGGGTCAAGCAGGGGGGGAAGCTGGGGGGGTAAGAGAGGAACGCCAGCAAGGGACCCGCGTCGGGAAGAGACCTGCTTAGGGGATCCTCCCCTGCAATGGGGGAAGAGAGGGGGAGCCAAGTGGCGTGACAGAGGGGGGGGCTGAGGGGAGATAGAGGTGACGTCGGGGGGGCAGAGTGTTGGAGCTTTGAGGAATATAGAGGCGGATCTGAGAGGTTAGTGAGGTGGGGCTGAGAGACTGGGAGGGGGGGCTGAGGTGGAAGGGAGGGGAAGCCGGGGGGAAAGAGGGGGGGGAGTCGTGGGGAAAGCGGGGGGGAGTCGTGGGGAAAGCGGGGGCAGACCTGGGGAAAGCGGGGGGGAGCCGTGGGGGAAGAGAGTGGGAGCCGTGGGGGAAGAGAGGAGGCCTGAGTGTCATTAGTGAGGGAGCTGTGAGGAACGGGAAAGGGCAGGAATTCGCTTCCCAAAGGGCCGTGAGGGGGCAGGGTGGTTCACCCAAGATTTCCGTGTCCGGTTTTGCGGGTACCTGCTTGCCTCGGCTCCCGTGCTCGCAAGCTCCTACACCTTTGTCCGAATGCGCAGTATTTGCGGCTCACCTGGCATCATTCGCAGAGTCGGTGGTGTGAGGGTACGACGTGGGTCGAGGCCTCGCATGGTCCCACCGTGGCATGATGGTCAAAGAAGGTTGTGTGGGCGGTTCCGAGCCGCCCAAGACTCCGTCTGGAGAGGGGGGGTGAAGGAGGGCAGGGGATGATGTGCGGCAGGGACGCTCGAAATATGATGCAGGGTTTGCGGGGCGCGTGCGGTGTTCGTCGCGCAACTCGTCCTACCCCTCGGGATCACAACGGTAGTGTGCCTGCATTCCCCCTCGCGTTCCGCGCAATTCCTCCCTTCGCGCATTCCGCGTCCAGTATCAGTGTACCATGTGCCCCAAGCGATCTTCGCTTTTTCGAAGGCGGAATCCGTCGCGCTCGCCTCATCATCTCTCGCGCTTTCGACCGGGGTATCACGGTATTCCCCGGGTCCTTTAGGCCTACTTGCTCACCGTCGCGCCTGGGAGTTTGTTTTAGCTGTTTACCCTGCGTGATAATAAGTACGGTTCTAACCAAGCTGCGAAAGGCACCAGATTGCTAAACCTGTTAGGGTTCGGCTTGCACGATCTGCCACGATGTCCTATCGTGACTCGCCCTTGGCGTCGCGGTTGGCGTGAGGACGCTCAGAGTCTTTCTCGCTTCCTTGATTGTGTCTGGCTGCATTCCGCGTAGGTTCTTGACAGCGGTAAGAACCATAACAGGCACGCCTGGGTTTTGTGTGTAGCGTGTGTGGTCATGTTTGCAGTTTCTGGGTTGCTGGTACGGGGAGATTTGGACTCGGCTTGGACATTGTTTGGTTCGGTTCGGTTTCCCAAACTTCCTCGTTACGTTGGGTGGACATTGCGAATTTTGGGCTGATCGCTACCATCGTTTTCCCTCACTTTTTGTTTCGCCCCTCGCCTTCCAATCAACTTCTTCCGAGTCTGAGCAACTGCAAAACACTTGCGGCACTTGATACCCTGGCTTTGAGCGAATCGCTAACAGGGCTGCGGATACCAGGGCAGATGCAAAAGCCCGCAGACGCGACTCTTGCGCCGATTTTTCACGCATAAGTAGAGCGGGGGTTGAATCAATGTCGCCACTCCGTTGACGATCGCAGGCATCATGGCCGCAACCCTCCACTGGCCGTGTCGCACGCTGTCGCAGTATCGCTCAGAGCCGCTGTGTCGCACAGAGACGCAGTGTCGCACAGGATCTTTATGTCGCACGCGCTCGTCCTTGCTCCCCCGTATTCCCCCGTTCCGCTCGTCTGTCGTCAGTCGACCCGCTACTATCACCAGTCGACCTGCTATCATCAGTCGACCCGCTATTGTCAGTCGACCCGCTATTGTGATCCTCGCTGCTAGCAATGGTCGCAGACACCACCGCCGACGAGAGGCCGAGCCACAAAGACACGTGTCTGATCGTGATAGGGCGGCGGGAGATAAGGCGGCTGCTGAGAGGCTGATTGAGTCGGAGGGGAGGAGGCGGGCGGAAGGCGGAAGGGGTGGTAAGTCGCAGGGCACGGGGAGCGGCGGAGGGGGGAGCGGCGCAACGAGGAGCAGGAGTAGCGGAAGGGGAAATGAGGAAGAGGACGTGTGGAGAATGGAGCTGGATCTCGGGCAGCTGAAAGAAAACGCGATGCAAGCTGCTGCCCGGGTGAAAAGTTTGCGGGCTGAAGATGTGAGGGAGAGGGTTGCTGATGCGGTGCAAAGCGGTGGCAAACAGCTGCTGACGTCAGCTCAGATGCTGAGGGATCGAGCATCTGATAACGCTCGGTGAGAGGCGGGGGGATGGGAGAGTGAGGGGGAGGGGAGAGTGAGGGGGATAAGAGGGGAGGGGGAGGGGAGGGTAGGTGAGGGGAGGGGAGGGTGAGGGGGAGGGGGAGGGGAGAGTGAGGGAGAGGGGAGGGGAGAGTGAGGGGGAGGGGAGGGGAGGGGGAGCGGAGGGGAGGGGGAGGGGAGAGTGAGGGGAGGGGAGGGGAGGGGAGGGGGAGGGGGAGGGGAGGGGAGGATGAGGAGGGGGGAGGGGAGGATGAAGGGGAAGGGAGAGTGAGGGGGGGGGAGGGGAGGATGAAGGGGAAGGGAGAGTGAGGGGGGGGGGAGGGGAGGATGAGTTTGGGGGTCAAAGTAGAAGAGGGGGCGGTTCAGGGGGGGAAAGAGGGGGCTGGGATTGACATATAGGCAGAGGGGAGAGTGCGGTTGAGGCTGGGATGAGGGGGGGCTGGGATTGGCGTATAGGCAGAGGGGAGAGTGCGGTTGAGGGTGGGAAGATGTGGACTGGATGACTGGCTGAGAGGAAGGAGGCCCATCTGGCACCTGGCCAGATCTGGCACCTGGCCAGATGAGGAGGAACAGACACGTGCCACACACCCATCATGCATTACCCCCTCTATGGTCTTTCTACTGTGCATGTCTCATCTCTCGAAACCAATCACTTTCCCAGTCTGCAATTCTTTCGCCCCAGGGATCCATTCTCTCGCCCCTCCGTCTCCTCATCACCAAGCCTTCAATCCCCGCCCAACTTTCTTTCTCCTATACTCTCCCACCCTACCTTCCTTCGTCCCTCCCCGTCCCCCTCCCCGTCCCCCTCCCCGTCCCCCTCCCCGTCCCCCTCCCCGTCCCGCTCCCCCCACCCCAGCCACACCCTCTCCTCCCTCACCTCCTGTGTCTCCGTCTCCCCCTCTGGCCGCATCTCCCTCTCCCTCCGCCCCTCCTCTCTCCGCCCTCTCCTCCTCCTCGCCTCCCTCCTCTCCCTTCTCCTCCTCCGCTCCCGCATCCTCCCCCTCCTCTCCTCCCTCCTCTCTCTCATCCTCGCCCTTCCCCTCCTCTTCTTCCGCCTCCTAGGTTTCCGCTGGGCAGAGGGGGATTTAAGCTGGGGGGAGTGGGGGTGGGGGCGGGGCGGGGGAAGGGGGAGGGGGAGGAGGGTGGTGCGGGACCGGTCAATGGGGGGAAAGGAGGTGGTGGCGTCAGAGGGATGGCGCAAGTGGTGGGAGGGCGTGGGTGGAGGGGGGGAGGGTGCTCGGGAGGGGGGGAAAGGGATGGCTGTGAGAGAGGGGAGTGTGCGGAGGTGGAGGAGAGGAGGAGGGGGGCAGCAAAGAGGGGTGAGCCCGTTGGATTTACCCGTCGAGATTTCAAGGTCCGAGAGGGAGTTGAGGGAGAGGGGGCTGTTGGGAAAGGACGAGGGGAGTGGAGGGGGGAGGGGGCGAGCGTCGGGAAGGCAGGAGGAGCCGGAGTGGTGGCGGGAGGGATGCAGCGCCGCAGCGGTGCTGGCGTCATCTGCCTCGGAGGCGGCATCCGTTGCAGGAGCAGGGAGAGCAGCAGGGGGTGGAGCTTGGAGCGTGGCGAGGGAGGGCGGTGAGGAGGCGAATCTCGTAGTGCAACGTGGGTTCCCTGCCTTCCCTCCCCCCCGGTGCTCCGCCTTATGCCATCCCTGCTGCCTCATTCCCCCATCCCTGCTGCCTCATTCTTCCATCCCTGCTGCCTCATTCCCCCATCCCTGCTGCCTCATTTCCCCATCCCTGCTGCCTCATTTCCCCATCCCTGCTGCCTCATTTCCCCATCCCTGCTGCCTCATTTCCCCATCCCTGCTGCCTCATTTCCACGTCCGTCAATGCGTCCCAGTCCCCATGGTCCTCCCTAACACACCTCTCTAACACACCTCCCTAACACACCTCCCTAACACACCTCCCTAACATACCTCCCTAACATACCTCCCTAATACACCTCCCTAACACACCTCCCTAACATCCCCACCGTGTCTTCCTAGTTCACTCATCCTCACAGCATCTCTTCACCCCTTCACCCCGCCCACACCAGGCATGATGAGTCTGCGGCTGCTGGGGCAAGACTTCACCCCATCTGATATTCTTCAGGTCAGACATGGGCAAAATGCGATTGCGATTTAAATCGCAATCGCATGCAGTGCGATGATTTAAAATGCGATGCGATTTTAAATTGCATCGCGCGATTTATTATTTTCAAAAAAAAAAAAATCGCACATCGCGTTTTGCCCGCGATGTAATTAAAAATCGCATGCGATGTTTTATTAAATCGCGCGATGCGATATTAAATCGCATCGCATTTTTGGAGGTTTTAAAAACTAGTCTACAAACATTGAAAAAAACTGTGACTTCTGAAAACTGGAACACGGGATGGCGTGCGGGCGTTAACGATTAAAAATACGGTTCAGAGTGGGTTTCACACAAATGCGAGCCCCGTGGTAAGGGCCCGACTTTCGTAGCTTAAATAAGGTAAGTGTTTTGGGTTTGAAAGGGGGGGAGGGGGGGAAAAGGGGGGGGGGCAGCTGCAAGCTGGAGGGTGTGGGGAGTATGAGGGTGCGGGGAGGGAGGGAGGGGGGTTTGAAGGGGGGGGGAGGGGAGGAAGCAAGCATCAAGCATAGTCATCGGTGTAGCACGTTGTCAATATAAGGTAATATCGTATGAGTTCCCGAACCCCCCAGCAGCACACTAGCCCTCACAGCCCTGGACCTATCTCAATTTTCAACCACCAAAAACCGTGAAGAACGGTGGGTTTAGGAGGAGAAGTCGGAGGTGTGTGCAAAGCCCTAAAAAGTACTCTCTCAAACGAAAGAGATTTTGAGAAATGCGTTTTGGGGCTTTGAGTTTTTTCCCTATGTGCTGGCGAGATTTCGCGCTGCGATGTATTTCGACATCGCGCGCGATTTAATGTAAATCGCATATCGCGATTAAATCGCGATTTTCGTGCGCGATTTAAGTGCGAGATAAATTTAATCGCGCGGTAAATAAATCATCGCATCGCGCGATGAATTTATTTATTAAAAAAAAAAAAAAAAAAAAAAAAAACCAAACAAACAAAAAAAACATCGTCATCGCAAAAACGCGATTAATCGCGATGCGATGCGATGCGATTTAAATTGCTCATGTCTACTTCAGGTGCGCAGATGGCATGCACATGGGACGCACATGGCATGCACATGGTATGCACATGGGATGGGACGCAAATGGCATGCACATTGGACGCACATGGCATCACATGGGACGCACATGGCATGCACATGAGACGCACATGGCGTCACATGGGACGCACATGGCATCACATGCACTTGGCATGCAGAGATGCACTTGGCATGCAGAGATGCACTTGGCATGCAGAGATGCACTTGGCATGCAGAGATGCACTTAGCATGCAGAGATGCACCTGGCATGCAGAGATGCAAACAAGCAGGCGTGCACATGGCATCACTGGCAGGTGGTAGGTAGCTCATCCGTCCCTTACGACACAAAGCACGCATGCATATTAGCCGTGTGTTTATTGGCCTCTCCATGTGCCCCATGCACATCGCCTCCATGTGCCCCATGCATATCGCCCTATGTTGGAAAATACGCGTACTGCGTTTTATACGCTAGCGTATATACGCTTGCGTATATACGCTATACGCTTGGATTTGGGGTCCAACACGGCAGGAATACGCATGCCCGGGCAGGAAAAAAGGTTTGCCCGGGCAGGGTAACAAAACCAGGGGGCAGCAAGGAAGCCATGATGGTAGCGGCTAGGCTAGGGTTTCTGAAAACGTGACTCTCAAATGAGAGGCATTTTCTGAGGGGTCGAATTTTGACCTGCCAATTCCCTCCCTTTCACCGCACTCAACCCCCCCGTCTACAAAGTCAAATTGGCTTCCAGCCAACCAACTCCCTCCCTTTCACCGCACTGAACTCCCACCCATCTACAAACTCCAACCTTTCCTCACAAATGCTCGACTCTCCCCCCCATCATCTCCCCCATCACTTTGGTAGAAGACTAACAAGCACCGTAACTCGCGCAATCGCCGCCACCTAGCTAAGCACACCACCGTTTCGCTTCAGAGCTGAGATTTGGACGGAAATGGGGAACGGCAAACACGGGATGGCTTTCAATCACGTACAGAGCAGGCTGGGCTATGGGCAAAAAAGAATGGGCGAAAAAACCGCGACGTCGCGAAGTCGCGGAAAAAAAAAATATAAGTTTTTTTTTTCGCCGGGCAGCCCGGGTATCGCGTATCGCGTATTCCAAGCGTATCAGCGTATTGCGTATATTCGCAAGCGTATATACGCAATACGCAAAGCCTTCTGTGCGTATATTCCAACATAGATATCGCCTCCATGTGCCCCATGCACATCGCCTCCATGTGCCCCATGCACATCGCCTCCATGTGCCCCATGCACATCGCCTCCATGTGCCCCATGCACATCGCCTCCATGTGCCCCATGCACATCGCCTCCATGTGCCCCATGCACATCGCCTCCATGTGCCCCATGCACATCGCCTCCATGTGCCCCATGCACATCGCCTCCATGTGCCCCATGCACATCGCCTCCATGTGCCCCATGCACATCGCCTCCATGTGGCCCATGCACATCGCCTCCATGTGCCCCATGCACATCGCCTCCATGTGCCCCATGCACATCGCCTCCTTGTGCCCCATGCACATCGCCTCCATGTGCCCCATGCAGATCGCCTCCTTGTGCCCCATGCACATCGCCTCCATGTGGCCCATGCACATTGCCTCCATGTGCCCCATGCACATCGCCTCCATGTGCCCCATGCACATCGCCTCCATGTGCCCCATGCACATCGCCTCCTTGTGCCCCATGCACATCGCCTCCATGTGGCCCATGCACATCGCCTCCATGTGGCCCATGCACATCGCCTCCTTGTGCCCCATGCACATCCTGCGGCTCACTCATCCATAGAAGCAGCTTCAGACCCCATGCATGGGCCACCCCCGTCCCACCCCCTTGGCGCCCCTTTTCCTCCCACCTCCTGCTCCTCTCGCTGCACCGCATGGCTCCTCCACGCCCCTTCACCCCACCACTAGCCGCCGCATCTGACTCACCTCTCTTGCTCTCACCCTCTCCCTCACCCCAAAACCCCCCTCCCCCCTCTTCTCTCCTCTCATCCCTGTGGGCCTGCCCAGTGCCCACCCCTACAACTGTCCCCTGCCCCGCCCTCCCCCTCCCATTCTTTCCCCCCACCGTCGATCGTCGCAGTGGTGCAACGTTGGACATTGAGTCCGTCAGCAGCCCAAGTGCTCTCTCTATTGGTGCTCTCTCCCCCCCCTCTCCCCCCCGACCCCCCCTCAGCTCTACGCGGTCTATCATTGCAGGGCATCCACAGTGGCCATGCAGTCGGACAACAGCCGGGGCGCTCTCTCTATCGCTGGGTGAATGCGCCACACCTTGCTCCACACCTGCCCTACGTCCTTGCCTTCCTCTCCCTGCGCTCTTTGTTCCCCCCCCCCTCTCCCCCCTCCCCCCTCCCTCCCCCCACTCTTCTCCCCTCAGCTCTACACGGTCTATCGCCGCACGGGTGCCACGGTGGCCATTGAGTCGGACAACAGCCGGGATGCGCTCTTCAGAGCCGCCATCAACACCGCATTCAATGCCGCTGCTGGGTGAGTGCACACTGCGCCTCTAGTCCCTTCCCCGCCTATCTTTACTCTCTCATTCCCTTCTCTTTCTCTCATTCCCTTCTCTTTCTCTCATTTCCTTCTCTTTCCCTTATTCCCCCTTTCCGCGGCAACCATGCGCCCCTAACTCTCCGCTGGTCGTTCCAGCCTCGTTCCTCCTGTGTCCTCCTCACCTCACCTGTCTGCATGCCCCTCGTCCCAATTGTATGTGAACCCGAATCATCCCATCATGCTGCCTCCTGCTCTCTCTCATGCGCCTCTGACCCGCATTGCACTGCGTGCGACTAACAATCTCTTCTATCCGCCTGCGCTCTTCTCTTTGCTTCTTCCCCTTTCCCCGCCCCCCCCAGAACCTCTACTGCTTTCCTGTCTCCCACGGACATCCCTCTCTTCCTCGCCTCCCTAGCTGCTGCCATCCGCATCCCCAGCCCTCGAGCGCTCACAATGGTGCTGGCCGCGCTGGCTGCTCGCACGCGCTCCTCCTTCCTGCAGGCCTGGGTGAGTTCTGAGGTGCATCGCATCTAGACTCACGTCATCCCTCTCGTCCTCGCCTCCCATCCGCATCCCCACCATGGCGCTGTCGGCGCTGGCTGCTGCTCGCACGCGCTCCTCCTTCCTGCAGACCTGGGTGGGGGGCAGGCTCGGGTGTGAGTCAGGCTAGGGTGGGAGGCAGGCTCAGGTGCGAGTCAGGCTAGGGTGGGAGGCTGGCTCGGGCGAGGGAGATGCAGGCTTGGTTTAAATGCAGGTTGTTTTGGTTGAAATACCGATTTTGCGTGACTTCGTAGGATTCGTGGTTCGTTGCCTTTCAAGCATAGGGTGCAGATGAGCACCATACACCATGCACCATGTGCCAAGCACCATAAACCATGCGTCATGCGCCATGCACCATGCACCATGCACCATCCACCATCCACCATGCACCATACACCATTCACCATGCACCATACACCATTCACCATGCAGCATGTGCCATGCCATGCGCCATGCACCATCCACCATGCACCATACACCATGCACCATTCACCATGCACCATCCACCATGCACCATGCACCATGCACCATTCGCCATGCACCATACGTCATGCACCATGCACCATGCACCATGCACCATGCACCATACACCATGCGCCATGCCCCATGTGCCATGCACCATACTCCATGCTCCATGCGCCTGCACCATGCGCCATGCACCATGCACCATGCACCAGACACCATACACCATCCACCATGCACCATGCACCATACACCATGCACCATCCACCATGCACCATGCACCATGTGCCATCCACCATGCACCATGCACCATGCACCATGCACCATGCGCCATGCACCATGCACCATGTGCCATGCGCCACGCACCAGACACCATACACCATCCACCATGCACCATACACCATGCACCATCCACCATGCACCATAAACCATGCACCATCCACCATGCACCATGCACCATGTGCCATGCACCATGCACCATCCCCCATGCACCATGCGCCATGCACCACCATACACCACACACCATGCACCATACACCATACACCATGCACCATGCACCATACACTATGCACCATACACCATGCACCATACACCATGCACCATGCACCATGCACCATGCGCCAAGCGCCATGCACCATGCACCATGCACCATATACCATGCAATCAGGCAGAGGACCATCACGTGTGCGTTATTAATAGGTCTACCATGTGCACGCCATGCCATGCCATGCCATGTGGGCGCCATGCATCATGGCAGGCCCTGGTGAAGCAGAACCGCCGCAGCGAGGCTGAGGAGGAGCTTCAAGGCCTGGGCAGCATTGCAGCCACTGTACCCCCTCCTGCCAACTCGGTACGCTTCATTGCCTGTCAATCATCTCCGCCTTTGAGTCTTTGTGCAGCATGCACCGATGTAACTTCCCAGTTACCATTCCAGGATTTCTGTGCCCATCTGTGCTGTATTGCATGCCTCTGTTGCACCCACCTGCCCTGCTCTCACCACAGCAGGCAGAGACGGAGATGGTGGCGGCGGGGCCATCATCAAGGCCACCATCAAGGCCACCATCAAGGCCACCGTCAAGGCCACACACACCTCCGTGTTTTATCTCCACGCCACAGCCATAAACAGTGGTCTATTTCCCACTGTTTATGCCCCACCATTCCATACCTCCCCTCCCCCAGCTGCACCATGGCAGGCGGAGATGGGGATGGTAGCGACGAGGCCATCAAGGCCGCATTGCCGTGCCAATAGCCTCTGCTCCTTGCATCCCATGCTCCCTTCTCTTGCGTGCTCCCCCCTCCCTGCGTGCGCTGTCCATTGCCAGACGGAGATGACGATGGTGGCAGCGGGGCTGCCAAGGCCGCCTTGCCGTGCCACATGGCCTCCATTCCTCTCCTCCCATCTCCCCCCCTCCCCCCCCCCAGCCTGCACGCGCTATCCCTAGGCAGGTCGACATGGAGATGGTGGCTGCGGGGCTGTCAAGGCCACACGGCGGTGCCACATGGCGGTGCCACACAGCGGTGCCACACGGCGGTGCCACACGGCGGTGCCACACGGCGGTGCCACACGGCGGTGCCACACGGCGGTGCCACACGGCGGTGCCACATGGCCTACATTTCTGTCATGCCATGCTCCCCTCCCCCCCACCATGTGCGCCATTGACTGGCAGGCGGAGATGGAGATGGTGGCGGCGGGGCTGTCGCAGCGGATAAGCCACGGGGAGAGGGAGGAGCTGCTGTGGGTATACTGCCGGGCGGGAGGGAAGGAGACCCGGGATGTCATGGCGCGTGCCCTTGGCTTGTAGCTGTCGTCCCAATGCCCATGCCTCCCTGGTTGAGGTGAAAAGCCACTGGGAGAGGGAGGAGCTGCTGTGGGTATACTGCCGGGCGGGAGGGAAGGAGACCCGGGATGTCATGGCGCGTGCCCTTGGCTTGTAGCTGTCGTCCCAATGCCCATGCCTCCCTGGTTGAGGTGAAAAGCCACTGGGAGAGGGAGGAGCTGCTGTGGGTGTACTGCAGAGCGGGGGGCAGGAACATGAGATGCCATGGCACGCGCTTTTGTCCTGTAGGCATGTTTGCTCATGCATGCGTGTAGTGTTCTCAAGGGCTTGCCAGTACATGTTACAAACGCCTGGCAATTCAGATGCAGCTGTAGCTTTCCCCGCTTGCTGTAAACACAACTGCAGGCCCCAGCTGCTCACAGAAGGAATTGGTGGGGATAGCCGTGCCTTGCCTTGCCATGCCACACCACCATGGATAGCCGTACCTTGCCATGCCACAACATAGATAGCCATGCCTTGCCTGGACCCACACTTTCCGCAACCATGTTGTGATTCTCAACTCCCCAGTATGGTTGAAGAATTCCGTAGCCTGTTTCAAATTGAGCAAGTTTGTTCACTGAGGGAGACCAAAAACTGCATGCATGAGAGCAGTGTTGAATGGTAGCCCTGTGAGCAGGTGACAGGAACGTCGACAACACAGGTACTGTAGGGCAAGGATATACCCTTCAGCAAATCGCGAGCACTACAAGCATCATTCTCCATCATTCGCTGGGGGTACTGTAGAGTCCTCTGCTGCGCCCTGTGATTCCCCATCATTCTTCCTTATCTTTCCCATGCTCATCCCCTCCATCCATTGTGTCCTCCCTCTATTACTCCCCTCTTCCCCCTCTTCCCCCTCTTCCCCCTCTTCCCCCTCTTCCCCCTCTTCCCCCTCTTCCCCCTCCTCTTCCCCCTCCTCTTCCCCCTCCTCTTCCTCCTCTTCCATCTCTTCTTCCCCCTCTTCTTCCCCCCCTTCCTCAGCATGCTCCACCCCATCTCTGATCTCATTCCCCTTCACCGCCTCATCACTCTTGGCCTCCTCCATCTGTTCCTCGCTTCCCTCTCCTTCCTCCCCTAACTCCCAATCCTCCTCCCCCTCGCCTCCCTCCCCTAACTCCCAATCCCCCTCCCCCTCGCCTCCCTCCCCTAACTCCCAATCCCCCTCCCCCTCGCCTCCCTCCCCTAACTCCCAATCCCCCTCCCCCTCACCCCCCTCACTCTCTCCTTCTGAAGAGCCCCCCCCGTCCTCTCCCTTCTCGCCGCGACAGCAGGGGGCACCCCTACACAGCGCACGCCTTCAGCATCGCCATGCCCTGCAGCCCCCCCGGCAGATCCGCCAGCTGCCCGCACCCGTGCAGCGTCACCTCCTGCAGCTTGGGCAGCTGCAGAAAAGATTCGGGCAGGCTGCAAATTTCCTGCATGAAGAGAAGCTGGAGCTCCTGCAGAGAGGACAGTTTCCAGAAGTCGTCTGGCAGGCACGGCATGGGCAGGCTGGAAAAAACGCAGGAGCGCAGGCTAGAGAGGCCGCTGAAGGACTGTGGTAGCCTGGTCAGAGGGCACAGGTGGACCTCCAATGCTTGGAGCATTGCCAGCTGCCCGAACGACTCGGGCAGGTCATGCAAACAATAGAGCGCAGCAAGGTGGAGGGAGGTGAGGCGTGAGAGGGCCCCACGTCCGCGTGGCAGCGCTGGGAGACTCCTGGCGTGGATGATAGACAGTGACTGCAGTGCTGGGAGCGCAGAGAGGGAGTCGGGAAGCGAGAGCAGCGCAGGCAGATAGTGCAGGTCCAGCTTGGTTAGAGAGACGAGCTGTGAGATGCAGGGAGGAAGGGAGAGCAGCTGGTCCAGTTGCACGAGGTGCAGTGCTGTGAGCGAGGAGAGGCAGCACAGCGATGGGTGCAGGGACTGCAGGGACTGCAGAGGAAGAGCCCGAAGCTGGAGAGCCTGCAGGGATGCAAGGGGCGTACCTCTCACACTCCTCTCAGGACTGCTGCTGTTAATGCTGATGCTACCACTGCTGCTGCTGCCATGGGTGTTGCCACTGCTGCCACCACGCTGGACCCGGCTGGTTCTATTCCCCCCCTCATCTTGTTCGGCCTCCTCTGCCTCTCCCTCCCATTGCGGCCGGAGCCCGCTGCACTCGAACACCTCCAGAACCCGCAGCTGGGGCAGCTGAAGGAGCGAGCGCGGGAGAGAATCCAGACCGTTCATCCCTGAGATGGTGAGCTCTTCAAGCGCTCCCAGCCATCCGATCTCCTCCGGAAGCTCACTGACTCCCCGGCAGTCGTCAAGGGTGAGGCGGGTGAGAGAGAGGGCGAGGCCAGGGAGGGAGGCAGAGAGGGCAGAGAGCAGCGGCAGGCTGGAGAGGTGAAGCTCTCTGAGGCGTCTCACGCACCCAAACCCGTCTGGCAGGGAGACGAAGCTCTCTGCTTGCGATATCTTCAGGGTTTCAAGGGAGGAGAGACAGGAGAAGGAGGGGGGGAGGTGGGTGAGAGCTGGGCAGTAGAGCAGATGAAGCTCCCTGAGGCGTCCCAAGCACCCAAAGCCGTCTGGCAGGGAGGTGAGACTTAAGGCTTGCGATATCTTTAGGGTTTGGAGGGAAGAGAGGCGGGAGAAGGAAGGGGGGAGGTGGGTGAGAGCTGGGCAGTTGAGCAGATGAAGCTCCCGCAGGCTGTGCAGACCCTCCCCCGTGCCAAGCCCCGTGCCATGCCCCATGCCAAGCCCCGTGCCATGCCCCGTGCCATGCCCCGTGCCATCCCCCGTGCCATCCCCCATGCCATCCCCCATGCCATCCCCCATGCCATCCCCCATGCCATCCCCCATGCCATCCCCCATGCCATCCCCCATGCCATCCCCCATGCCATCCCCCATGCCATTCCCCATGCCATCCCCCATGCCATCCCCCATGCCATCCCCCATGCTATCTGGCAGGGCGGTGAGCCCCTGGCAGTCCCGCATCTCCAGCACCTCCAGGCAGCCCAGCACGCACAGCGTCTCTGGCAGCTGCTGCACCCGCCCACACCGGGCAATCCGCAGCTCCCGCAATGCTGTCAGCTGGCCTAGCATGAAATGCTCGGGCCAAGTAGCCGGGGTTGCTGTGAGGGAGAGCTCGTGGAGCGCAGTGGCGAGGGCGAGGGAAGGAGGCAGGTGCTGCATGAGACTGGGAGCGTCCAGCGTGAAACTCTGAAGATTTGATAACCAGCCGATGTCGTCGGGCAGCAAAGAAAGTGCTGGGCAGAGCAGCTTGAGGCCCGTGAGAGAGTGGAGACGGGGCAGGGACCGGGGCAGATGCAGAATGGCAGCGCAGCCAGTCAGGGAAAGGAGCTGCAGCCGCCGCAGCTGCCCGAGACTCTCGGGCAGGTCTGTAATCCCGCTCACCTCCTCCAGAAGTAGGGTTTCCAGCGCCTGAAGATGCCCGAGACTCTCGGGCAGCGGGGAGAGGTCTCGGCACTTGCAGAACTCAAGAAGCACGAGAGATGAGAGGTTGGAAAGGCCGTCGGGCAGGTGAAGGGCGGTGCACCCGTGGATTGCAAGTTGGTGAGTCTGCTGATGGACTCCGTGAGCGAGGTGAGCGACTCGCAGTTGGCGACTCACAGCTGGTGAGGTGCAGTGGCTCGCAGTTGGCGACTCACAGCTGGTGAGGTGCAGTGGCTCGCAGTTGGCGACTCACAGCTGGTGAGGTGCAGCGGCTCGCAGTTGGCGAGGTGCAACGACTGCAGCAAGCTCAGATCGCCGAATCCCCGAGGCAGATCCTGCAGCTTGCAAGTCTTAGTCGACAAGCGCCTCCGGCTAGGCTACTTATCGATCTCCTTGATCTCACGATTCCAACGGTATGCTCAGAGTAGCTGAAAGTCGGCAATACGAGATGCAGCAATTTTCTGAATCCAATAATTCGGAATGAGATGCAAAGCACGAACTGAAACAACACATATATGCATTTCGGATTTCAGCTAAGTGCTTCATAATACCGCGTGCGTCTCGCTGTAACGTGTGCGCCTCGAGTCACCCCAAATCGCACTCCACCGAAACTGAACGCGCTCCGCGTTGGTTTGGCACCGAAACCGACACCAAGTCCGGTTCCACTGAACGTGCACCTAATGCACTCCTCTTCCAACCTCCAATTCCCCGCACAACACTTCTAGCAGCTGCTGTTGCCTCACGCATCCTTTCCAGCAACCGCGCAATCCTTCCTTCCTCCTCGTTTTCTTCTCCCTTCTCCGCTTTCCTCCACCACATTCCTTTCGTGCTCCCACCGCATATCGCTGCATCACCGTTCCTCCTCCGCACCTAGTGCCGCCATCGTGCTGCTGGATTAGGGTAGGTCCGCTGTTGGGTAGGGCAGCGCCGAACCATCTCCAACAGCAAGTGTCCAGCACGAGGTGCTCCAGTGACTGTAACGACGGGAAGGTGTCCGGGAGATGCTCGGCCATGCCTAATGCGAGGTGGAGGGTTGTGAGCGAGCGGAGATTGCCGATGGCGGGGGGAATGGCGGTGAGATAGCGCGAGCACACGAGATCGAGGCGCTCCAGCCGCGTGCACCCTTCGAAGAGGCAAGACAGACCCGCTTCCGTGAAGCCGGCTTGTTGGAACCGCTGAGGCATCAGATCGATGCGGAGATCGACGAGATTGCGACACGCGAGCAAGGCGGGAGAGAAAGACGTCAGTGACGGCGGAGACGTTGTGCGGGGGAAGGGCGATTTGGGTGAGGCGGGGGAAGGCGGGGGGGCGCGAGAGCAGATGCTGCGCGCTGAGGTCCCGCCGCTCCCGCACGTGCACGTGGTCGTGCAGGCGACAAGCGATGCGATGCCAATGCTTGCACACCAGCCCGTGCTGGAACTGGCCGTCGGGGCGACCAACGAGACGGAAGATCGTGGAAAGCAGATCATCCGACAGCTATTGGATCGGCGATCCGACTGGCATCGTGACTAATGACACTCGGGGGAAGAGACCGCGGAGAAAATGAAGTTTTTCAGTCAGCTGAAGAAAATTGATTGATAAAATAGAAGCCGTCCCTCGAGCACAGGATGGTGTTGCCCAAATTCCGTACCGAAGGGCGCGGGACATCCAATTCGTAATTTCGAAAACGGTATGAATTTTGGAATGGTAGCTAGTTACGTGAACTTCGTGAGGCCGCTTCGTGTGTCAGCAAAATTCCTTGCCCAAATTCATAACGTCGATGGAACATGCGCCACTCCGCCACGTACGAACTGATAACCTGTTGGATGTCAACGGGCTCACGAAAACCTGCCGCGAAAACAATTGTATGCTGGCGAAAAATCTATGGGTTTCGTGCAAATTCGAAGTAGGGAGTTTGATTTTCAATACTTGGAACGTCACAGGTTGGCACTAACCAACATGCATGGTTTGACGGGCGGTTCGAACCATCGCTGGAATGGTTCGTACGGCCCAAAATACGTAATGGTTCGGAATTTGGCGTAGCGCAACCGATGTCCCACGCCCTAGTTTTGAGAACCATCCCACACCCACCTATTTTCATATCGCAGTAACGGCGCATCATGTAACGGTACTTCATGCTTGTAAGGAATTAACA